TGCGGGTCTACTTAAAGGATCATGGGACTTAGTAAGTTTAGGGTTTAGGGTTTAGGGTTTAGGGTTTAGGGTTTAGTACTTAAAGGATCATGGGACCTAGTAAATAGGGTGATAACTAAGGTAACTATACTTATAACCCCGATTAGGGGACTTATAACCTTACTTACTAAGTCCCATGATCCTCCAAGTATCCTACTCGCCCTTGGTGCTGTGGCATAGCCCGCATTCGAGGTCCCCCGGTCCTTCCTCGCAGTTGCAAGCTGGAGATTTGCAAGTAAGGGTCGGGTGTGTAGCTCCTGCATATAATGTGCACTATATCAAAAAACTCCGTCAAGCCCTGTGAACCCTGACAGGACAACTTCGAAAGGAATGCTTAGAGGAACCCTATATGATGCTTGTTTAGCCACAGGATTACCTTGGAAAGCCTTGCAAAACACAGTCAAGTTGCACGTTCATCTTCGTCTAGTGATAGCAAGATTTGCTCCGAAGGTGTATACAGGGCTATGGCAAGCATACAGGTCAGAAGAGTGTCTGAGATTCACTCATTGCAACTGACGTTCACTCATATTCCCTATGCAACGTACTGCGAAAATATCACAGAACCCTACGGCTATCATCAACGTGGCGCAGCGGGCCCCTTGGAACTAAACCCTCGCACCTCAACAATGCCCGGCATGTCGAGGTTCTTCTCATCGCCCTTCCACGCCGGTGCGACATTTCCGCAAGGCGAGGTCGCCTCGTCAGAATGCCTGTTTCGACGAAGACTGCTCTTGCGGGTTTACGGTCCAGGGTTTAGGGGTTTAGGGGTTTAGGGCTTTAGGGTTTAGGGTTTAGGGTGTAGGGGTTTAGGGTTTAGGGTTTAGGGTTTAAGGGCCTAGGGTTTTAGGACCAATCAAGGCCTCGACCTGGAGAAACTCCCAAAGCATGTTTCGGACGACTGCAGAACATGTTTTGTAACAGTAACAGGAACAGTTGTTTCAACAGAAATGAAAATCTAAGGCTCAGGAGCTTGTCTTGAGCCAGCTGCTTCAACAAGAACTCCGAAATTCGATCCAGACCTCCCGAGAAGGTGGTCACCAGGATACGATGTAGGACCCTTCCTGAAACCCTAAACCCTAAACCCTAAACCCTAAACCCTAAACCCTAAACCCTAAACCCTAAACCCTAAGGTAAGGGGAGACAGCACACTGCGCCGATAACAGCCCCAGAACCAAGCACTAGAAGTAAGACTTTCTCATGGTCTGCAGTGCCGGTATTTACAAACCGTACTTTCGGTTCGTATTACTCCCATCCTTATCCTGCGCATTCTGACGAGAATCATTGTTACATGACAGTATCACCTCAATGCCTTGCACTATTGCTATGCTTGTTTGGAGAAGGGTTGGTACGTACCAGCAGCCAAAGCCTCCAGCTTTGCCTGCGAGGCAATGTGGGGCCTCATCGAAGCAAGCGCAATGTAGGGCTTTGAATAAGTACCAGCATTGTTTTTTGGTAGAGGGCTCCTGAATAGCCCGGCTAGAATACGGCTCTTTAAAGCTACTACCCCGAAGCGCAGCCCCTGATTTTCAGGTTACAAGTGAATTCTTGAGGCACCTCAGACCAATGACAAATGACATCAACCCACACATGGCAAGTGTCGAATTGTTGATTCTGCTTGGTTCCCAGTTGCCAGGCTGTGTGGCAGCATCCGACCGCTACCTCCTGATCAGTGATATGTTGCTTGCCTGCATTATGAGGGTTACTATAGGGGCCTTAGTAATTAGAATAAGGTTTTGGGGTATATTCTACGATAAATATAATAAGGAACCCCCAAAACCCTCTTCTAATTGTTAAGGCCCCTGCATCACCAGCTTCACCAGACTCCTCTTTTTTTCGAGCGCCCTCAAAGCCTTGAACCCCCAACTGATACGGTGTTGGGTTTAGCGTTTGAGGGCTTGGCGACTTTCCATTGGCGCACGGGGCTTGTTCAAGTGCTGTTCTTTTTGCATAAACTGTTCAAAATTGGTCCGGCACTAAACTTTCAAGTAGCAAGGGACCCCTACATCCTAAACCCCTAAACCCTAAACTCGAAAACTGGCCACAGGTCAACCCACAGTTGCTGCTGTCTTCCTCTAAGCGCACACTGGTGCATAAGATAGGGGCCTTAAGAATTACCTTTGCTATTTTGGGTGGGGGTCCTTATTATGAGCATAGTATAATTGGCCCCAAAACCCTTTGGAAAGTATTAAGACCCCTACATTACAGGGATTTGTCTGTAAGCCTTGCTGTTAATCACCTTGTCTCACCCTTTGAGAATCCTATCAAAGTCTGACACACACGCACACACACACACACATATATATATATATATAGTATATATATATATATATGTACATAGTATGTGTATATATATATATATATATATAACTAATAACACGACCGTTAAAACACAATCAGCTCCAGGTTCGGTCTGCTCACTTTGCACAGCCGCGGCGGGTGTGCCTCCAACGGCGTTGCCGCAGGCCGCTCTGCAGCATCGTTATGGTTCAAGGTTTTTGCGGCAGGGTTGAGGGCTAGGGCCTAAGGTTCAGGGTGTAATGCTTTACGGTTTGAAGCGCGTAGACTGTATAGGGTTCAGGATGTAGGGTGTTTTTAAGGTTTAGGTCCCTAAGCCCTGCGTTGTCTCCAGGTGTCCATGTACCGGTACAGTATTTGGGGGTTTCCGAAAATAGGGGACCCTAATATAGTACCCTAAATACTAGGATCCTTATTATAAGGACCCCAAAATAAGGTACCCCCTTTTTTTGGAAAGTCCCATTTCGCTGGACCTAGAAGCACCGACTGTGCAGAGACGCCGTTCAGGCCAAACTGCATGTAGCGGTTTAGGGTTTAGGGTTTAGGGTTTGGGTTTAGGGTTTAGGAATAGGGTTTAGGGTTTAGGGTTTAGGGTCATGGAAGCCGTAAACACTGAATTATCTCTCTGCCTGAACCCTGCACTAGACGCAATTTCTTGGATCGAAAGTCCTCCCATGCCCTCCCTCAGGCCAGAAAACGAGAAACCTTCAGAAACGTCTTTGAAGGAAGGAGAATGGGCCTAAATAGTTATCAATACTATTTTGGGGTTTCGTTGTTATCATTATAGTATAAAATGGGCCCCAAAACCCAATTCTAACTATTAAGGCCCCTACAGTCTCTCGGGTTGAGCATTGTACGCATTGCCCGAGCTTCATCTGCCCGAGCCTTGCCATCAGCCTTGCCATCAGCCATGTGTGTCGGTCCCTCCACCCATTCCTACACTTCAAAATGGGCCAATATTAAAGGACAGCGAGGTGACCTGGATCTCACGATCGTCGAAACCGGGGGCAGTGTCAGCAAGGTCATCGTGAATTCTGTCCCTCTTGTCCTCGAGAAAGTGACTCTGGTTCCCGGTCATTGCGTTCATGTCTGTGGCGATGGCGATGCCGGGTACATTTACAATTTGAAGATCAGCCACGACTTCAAGCATGTGAACGGCCACTATTCGCGATCAGGTGTGGAATTCGCCGGGCCTGGGACACCCGACGCCGTGGGGATCTTTGGCGTAGTCTATGCCAGCCGGAGCCACCCAGGCACCGACTAGCGCTGAACCTGCTCAGCCTCCAGGCGCATCCATGGTGCAACCAGCTGTGCTCCTAGAGGGAGAAATCTTGTGGACTCGTGTCCACATGCTTTCCCCGATATTGTCCAAGCAGTCGCAGCCTACCATGAGCTTTCAGCATGTTGGAAGCTGGAAAGAAGATTTTGCATGGTGACTGGCAGTTTGCGGTGTGTAGCAACAGATCGGAGGGCAGGCATTGTGTCAATTCTGAGGAGCTGTGAAAGCTGAATGCAACCTCGACCACACCTCTCCCCTTCAACAAGCAAAGTTTCATCTCTGTGACGCGCTTACGCAGTGGATCTTCATGCAGCGATTGTGGTTTAGGGAGCATTCTGCAATGTGAGAGGTTAGGACCGTGGTATAGACAGGGTTAAAGAGTTTATTTGCGGCGGTCTACCGAAGCTCAGCCTTACAAATGCATACGCCAGCTAAATGCAACTCCAAACCTTCATCCATCAACACCTCAGTAAGACCGCTTTTGTAAGAAGCATCTCAAGCCAAAACAAACTGCTGTATGAGCCTCTTAGAAGCCCTGCCACAACCTTTGCCATCAAGTGTAAATGTAAAGACTAGAGAATGCTGAGGCTACCTCGGCCAGGAGAATGGTTTCGGTGGCCTCGCAGTGCCTGAGATATAGATTGTTGGAGGTTCATAGGGTGTTAATTTTTGTATTTTGTTTCATGATGTGTTTGCTACGAAGTCCTTTTGGGCTTGTCGTGTGAGGTTTAGGGTTTCGGGTTAGGGGTGGTTCGGGTTTCAGATTCGGTTTCCGGCCTGAGGGTTTCGTAGGGGCTGGGGTTTGGGAGGACGAGTTGTCTTCGGCTGACGGCTTCAGAATCGAAGAAGCAGCAATATGTCTGGTCGTTTGTGTCGAGTGGTAGTGGTGGCCGACATCGTCATCCTCGTCGTTATCGTCGTAGATTTATGCCCGCGGCAGCCGCAGTGGTACACGGTCTCGTTGACAGCCTTGCATTCCGCTTCACAGGTCTGCACGACAGAAAAGACTGGACCGTCAGGATACCTGTTTGCACCCCTCCAAATGAGCACTAAGGTGTCAGATCATTGATCCAAGAGCCCGGAAGCCATCCGAGAACTGGTCGGAAGTTGTCACACCCAGATCACAGCGTCAGAAGGCTCCTGTAGCATCTCAGCAAGCTGCATCAAACCCCAAACCATATAAACCCTAAACCTCATCTTCCCGACACGAGACCCAAACCCGAGAGACAGTGCCGCCTATGTTCAACCTTGGAAACGCTCTGGGACTCGACCCCAAACTAGAAGCCCTCGACTCCAAACCGAACCCCAAACCTTACAACTGAAGCGCAGAAGCCCGAAGCCCTAAACCATCCTAAACCCTAAGTCCTCAACAAACAAAGCACATCCTAAACCCTAATATATCTGCAGGTGCGCTCGTCACTGCCTTGTGAAGCACTCCTTTTTTCCGAGCTCGGTGCGTCGCTGCAGGGACGGCGGCCCGGCGAAGGAGAGTCTCAGAAGAGGATGTTCCTTAAACACACGGGTTCCTATAGTTCAGGGGCTCGGGAAGGGTTTGGATTGTATGTCGTGGGATCGGGTTGGCGTTTATGGATTGCGGGATGAGGGTGTTAAGCTAGGGGACGGAATAATTAGTACCGGTATGCACGTACAAATGCCTATGTAATTCTCATCTCTATAGAGTATGTCATATGACACGAAACTTTTCAAGTCTCTAGACTTCTGCTTCTAGCAGGTTCCCCGTCTAAGGGTAAGGGTAAGTAAGCTTTTCTCAGGAGTCCTAGTCTTTACGAATACTGCTCATAAGCCAAGCTGCAGTGGGAATCATAGCATATCCCTTGCCCTGGATATTGCAAGGTCTTGTTCAAGAGCAGTAGGAGACATGGGCGATGCTTGGGACGCTGGCTTCGGGTTGGAAACTTCCAGGTTTCGGGATCAGCCCATCAGTACTGGGTCTGGCATAGAACTTGTGTAGATACCATCGTTACCATACTTTTTCATGTCTGTATGCAGGTGTGCAGGCAGTTCGAGTTTTGTATGGGTCTCCGACTGTCGTCGTTTATGCGTTTGGCCTGAATAAAGGTGTCGTTGGGTCTTGACCTTGCTCCGGCTCCGGTGAACGAGCCCCGTTCGCATATCCTAAAGCTTTAATCCGTTGTGTCTCAGCCTTTTTGACCCTACTGCTTCCTTGCCAAGTAGGCCTTGAACAACTAAGCCCGGAACTCCAAGTCGCAAAATCCTCCGCTAGGTTGGCCACAGATTGGGGGTGCATCTGCGGTTGGGAATCGACAGCGGATGGCTGCAGCACACCGCCCCTGGTCTTGCCCGGAGGCCTCCATGTAGGCTTTTGGGCCCAAAGACCCACGTATCAAGCTTTTGGGGCTACCTAAAGCCGTAGGGCTATATTGATATCAGGATGGAACTAGTGCACGTTGCGGCGCATCTGCACTCTAAGCAGAGCCTAGCATGAATTCACCAGAGCCTGTGCTACCTACGGTCTCAGCAGGGGTGGTAGTCGGAGTACTTAACTATGTCCGAAGTCCCGTCATCCTTCAAGTAAGTAGTAGGCCGCCAATAGCGTTTCCTCCCAATACTTTTCAGTGCATCCATACTGGAGATGGTGGTGATCAGGAAGCAGTAGCGGCTTGCCCGAACTTTGCTACCGGCCGAGACTCAGTTTAAGCGTGCATCTGTGTACAGAGATGGCGGTGGTGACCGGAGACTTAGGGTTGAAGAGTTGAAAGTTAAGCAGCAGAAGCAGTGGTAAAGAGCAGCTGTTTTTGCCCTTTCGCCATCTGCAGCAACAGCCAAGGCAAGATAAAGTCGTGCAGCACTACCTCAACCTGATTCTGGGCCGCAAATCAAACATGTACGCATGTGTAGCATAGGTGTCGAAATCGTGTTTATTATTTCTTCCTTTGCAGTGTGCTAGTTTTGAAAGGGAGATTCCTGCATTCCTAAGGGGAGGGTGGTTGCATTCCCTGAGCCTTAGCATCACCGAGCAGTGGCTTCTGTGAGGGTTGGGGTTTCTGTAGCACCAGACGGGTCTCCCCAGGGTTTAGGTATGTAATTTTCTGGACGCAGCTCCGCAATCAAATGTTTAGACTTTATTGGCGTTAAGCACATAGGCTTCCTTGAAGTACTCAGTGTTGGTCTCGTCTCCGCAACCTGGGCCCTTGCGGTGCATAAATTATTTGACATTCACCCGGTCCCATGCCCAAACAGCACGCCCCTTGTCCCGACATTCCGTTTGTTGGAACCGTCTGTAGTCAGTTACAATGACTGGGGTTCCGGATAAAACAACTTTACTGAACTAAACAGGGACTGTAGGAGACATTATTGCAAGTCCTTCAGGCCTGCTTTTATACAACATCCCAAGGCACGATACGCCCTAAAGCAAGGGAAATTTAATTTGATCTCATCATGAAGAACGCCCAGAGGCCCAAAACCTGCAATCCCTATAAGCTCAATATTCTAAGCTCCGATTCACGCCGAAATCCAAATTAAGCCTGCAAAACCATGATTATAGAATCCATGATGAACCTAAACCCTCAACCTTATGAAGTCCTGCTATTCACAAACGCTTAATATAGAGGCCTAAATAACTACGAATCTTGTTCCGAAGGGTTCCGGATTACATTTATAGTATAATATAGCCCAAAACCCTTTTAGTTATTGAGGCCCCTACATTAAGGCTTTACCTGTAACCGAAAAGACCTAACTTTTTAGCCTTGTTTGAGTTGCTATATGTAGTTCCTTAAAAGGTAGGTCTTTTCGGTTCCAGGTAGGGTTTAGGGTTCACTACTCGAGGCTTGTAGGTTTGCTTAGGTTTCTTCTAGGGTCGGCTTCCTGGGTGCCCTTCTGGGTTTCGGAGAGTTTGGGAAGGTTTAGGGTTTTTGGGGTTTAGGGTTCAGGGTTTAGGGGGTTTTAGGGGGCTTAGGGTTTCGAGTTTAGGGCGTGTTGGTTTTGGGTTTCGGGTATTCTGAAGATCGTCACATGAGCGAAGGTTGCTATGTGATGCCGCACCAGCTGAGCGATCTCCTGGATGGCAACATCTATCTTTACAGGCCTTCTTGTTCGTATAAGTATAGTATAGGACCCTTAGCTTCCATTTTTTTTTGGAGGGGGGGGTTATGTTGTAGTCTAGCTAGAACAAGGGAACCTAACTATGTTCGATCTTACCGCTTCGGGCTTGGGGTTTGGGCTGTTGTTGATCTTCGCAGGCCTTCCTTCCACAGGCACCTAAACCCTACACCCTAAACCGTACACCCTACAACCTAAACCCTAAACCGTACACCCTACAACCTACAACCTGAACCCTAAACCCTAAACCGTAAACCCTACAACCTAAGCCCTAAACCCTACACCCTGAACCCTAAACCCTAAACCCTACACCCTGAACCCTACACCCTAAACCCTACACCCTAAACCCTAAACCCTAAACCCTAAACCCACAGGCACCGACTGCTGTGGTTGAAGGGTGTTTGTATCGGCAGTTGGTGGAAGAACCTTCAGACCTTCGGAGCGCATCCCTCAACCCTAAAGCCCATTTTAGGGTTTAGGGTCTAAAGCCCAGAACCCAAAACCAAAGTTCGACAAACGGCTCCAAAAACCCTAAACCCAAAACCCTAAACCCTAAACCCTAAACCCTAAACCGTTAAGTAGACCTCGAAGCCCCGAAGATCCCACACCCTAACCCCGAAACCCCGAAGCCAAAGCCCAAATCCCCATACCCCTAAACCCGAACCCCAAACCACCGAAATTCTAAAGCCCGAACCCTAAACCCTAACGCTAAGATTCCTATAACCTCTAAGCCGTAGCCCAGAACCCTCAAATCGTAGATTCACAGACTCCGAGCCGTGATCCGAGCTCAAGCTTTGGGTTTCGGGTTTAGGCTTTAGGCTTTAGGCTTTAGGCGTCTAGGGTTTAAGGTTTAGGGTTTAGGGTTGTTAGGGTTTATAGGGTTTAGGGCTTTGGGTTTCGGGTTTCGGGTTTAGGCTTTAGGGGTTTAGGGTGTATAGGGTTTAGGGTTTAGGGTTTATGGGTCGAAGACCCGCGCTCGATAATTTCAATCCTGAGGTCTGCAGGCCCAAGAACGCCCTAAAGCCTAAACGCTAAACGCTAAACCCTAAACCCTAAACCCTAAACCCTAAACCCTAAACGCTAAACCCTAAACCCCAAAGCCTTTCACCTGAAGTCTTTGAGCCCAGGGAGGCCCCAGACACGAAGCCCTAA